GTAATTTAAGAAAGGTCTTTACCTTTAAAATTAAAAAGGATTACATAAACATGAAATGAACTATTTTTATAGTACTATTTTATAGTAGTATTTCAAAATTTTTTTATTAAACATTAATACTTAGAGTGATTAACTGTGGGTCATTAATTTTTAAAATCTTTGTATAACACCACTAAGAATAATAGTAACGCACTAGTTCTTTCAGAAAAAAATTAATGTAGAGAATTGGTTAACTAAGTGTTGGAAGATTTAAAAAAAAGCAAAAAGACATTGAGGGAGAGGAAATAAATGGATGAGGTTGGGGTTATCAGAACTTCAAAATTCAGAGAAGGGGCTTCACAGAGCTGGTGCCAGTACTTCTGAGGTGGGTACAATGAAACTGTGTTTACGCATTCCAGAAAGAAAAGCTGGAGACTGGTAGCAGCTATCAGGGCAGTGCTGGTACGAGTAGCAAGCAAACAAGGAAAAAGCCCCTTCTTCTTCCTTCTTCCTCCTTCCTTCCAGTCTCTTCAAGTACCTACTACTCGCGGTGGAAACTAACAGGAAGCCAACTAAGGAAGGAGAAAATGTAGTTTGTAGAGTTCTAGTCCTGCATCACAAAGGGAGAGTGTGGAGTTCAAAGATAATAGTTTAATAAGTGACACACTTAACCCTTTGAATGAAATGGATATTCAAGAAATTGGTCCCAGGTTCAGTTAATTAAAAATATATATATATATTTTAAATTTTAATGGCAGTCATAGCTGGAAAAAATACCTCAGAGGCATGATGTAGAGCTGGGTGAACAAACTTTTTCTAAGGGATGAGATGTTAAATATTTGAGGCTTTGTAGGCCAAATGATTTCTGTCTCCAGTACTTAACTTTGCCCTTGTAGTACAAAAGCAGCTGTAGAAAATATGGAAACAAACAGTAAAATTTTATTTACAGAAACAGGCAGTGGGCTGGATTTGGCCCCAGGACTATCTTTTGCAGACTTCTGATGTAGTGTAGTTATACTTAGGGTAAAGTTAATTAGTGGTAGTCCATATGTTGGAATAACTTTGATACTTTTTAATTTGGAAGTTTATCTTTTTAGATCTGGTTAGATTAATTTTTAAAAACCTCATTCTGGCTGGAGGCATCACTCTGCCCAACTTCAAATTATACTACAAAGCGACAGTAAGCAAAATGGCATGGTATTGGCAGCAAAACAGATACATGGATCAGTGGAACAGAATCGAGAGTCCAGAAATAAACTCATATTTACATGGGCAAATAATTTGCAACAAAAAAGCCAAAAACATACAGTGGAGAAAGGAAAGCCTCTTCAATAAATGGTGCTGGGAAAACTGGAAAGCCACCTGCAAAAGAATGAAACTAGACTGTTGTCTATTACCACACACTAAAATTAATTCAAAATGGATTAAGGACCTGAATATAAGACCTGAAACAATAAAATGCATAAAAGAAAACATAGGAACTGAAGTCAAGGACCTTGGACTTAGAGAGGACTTTATGAATTTAACCTCAAAAGCAAGGGAAGTAAAAGCTAAAATAAATGAATGGGACTGTATCAAACTAAAAAGCTTCTGCTCAGCAAAAGAAACTATCAACAAGGTAAAGAGGCAACCATCTGAAAGGGAAAACATATTTGCAAGCAACACCTCCAATAAGGGCCTAATATCCAAAATATACAAAGAACTCATATGACTCAAAGATGCTCAACATCACTAGCTATTAGGGAAATGCAAATCAAAACCACGAGATACCATCTCACACCTAGAATAGCTATAATCAACAGGACAAATAATAACAAATGTTGGAGAGGATGTGGCGAAAAAGGAACCCTCATACACTGCTGGTGGGACTGCCGCTATGGAAAACAGTATGGAGTTTCCTCAAAAATCCAAGAATTAATCTACCATAGGATCCAGCAATCCCTCTACTGGGTATTTACCCCAAACACCTGAAAACCCATATCTGAAAAGATATTTGGACACCGATGTTCATAGCAGCATTATTCACAGTGGCCAAGACATAGAAGCAACCGAAGTGTCCTATGATAGATGATTGTCTAAATAAACTGTGGTACATATATACAATGGCATATTACTGAGCCATAAGAAGAGATGAAATACTGTCATTTGCAACAACTTGGATGAACCTCGAGATAGTCATGCTGAGCGAAATAAGCCAGACAGAAAAAATAGAAAATCACATGATATCACTTACATGTGGGATATAAACCTAAAAGCAACATTTGAGCAAGACAAACAAACAGAGACTCATGGACATGGACTATAGACGAATGGTTACCAGAGGACTGTAGACTAGTGGTTACTAGTGGGATGGGGAGGTGGAGAAAGTAGTTGGGATAAAGGAGATCAAATACAGGGGGAGGGTGAAGTGGGTAAAGGGGATCAAATATATAGTAGTTGATGGAAACTGGACTTTGGGTGATAAACAGAATAGAATGTATAGATGTCAAATTATAATGTACACCTGAAATTATATAATTGTATTAACCAATTATATAATTGTATTAACCAATGTTTTTTTTATGTAAACATAAAAAAAAAAAAAACTCATTCTGACTAAAAGAGGCCTATAAGAATACCAGGGGAAGTATTAGCTCTGCCATTCTCTTTTTCACTTATGATGCATTATCAATATTATCTTTAATACATAGTTTCTTTACAGGAATGTTTTTAAGCCACTTACTCATTTTCATATGCTTTAGTTAAAATTTTGTGTACTTGCACAACAGTGTGAGTATATTTAATGCCACTGAACTGTACACTTAAAATGGTTAAAATGGTAAATTTTGTTACATATATATTACCACACACAAAAAAATGATGCAACTCTACTTGTATATATACACTTCTTATGGAAAATCAGCCTTTTCTCAGATATCTCAAAGTGATTGGCTGTCATGAACCTTCATAAGGGTGCCAATTTCCATCCATACATTAAATTCATAAAGCTTGGTTTCTTACTGGTTTTAAAGAAAAAGTAAATAGAATATTTAGTGTCTTCTCCCTAATCACAGTGGATCATCCTGTACCACTCCTTGGGTATGCATATACCCTCTGGAGGGAGACCACTGAGCTAGAGACTTGTTTCCTAATAGAATGCTTTCATTAATTTTGAGGCAATACATAGATAATTTTGCAAACTGGATTTTTTCTCTAGTTCTTCCCCTGCCAGCATGCCTTGCTAATGGTGTTATCCTGACCTTGTATTTTCATGCCTGCTCTCCCATTCCTAATTCAGCTCTGCTTTTTCATTCATCTTTCTATAGCACTTTATATAAACTTCTATTATAATTCTCATCACATTGTATTTTAGTTATTTGCTTATATTTCTCTCTTCCTTCCTTTTTGAATAGCATGCCTTGGTTGTATACTATATTCCCAGCACCTCGATGTAGCACGCTACATGCTGTCACTAAATACTTTTATCAAATTATTGGAATTAGAGCTTAACCCAGACATTAATGAGCTTTTCAGTGGTTCATAACCTGAGCTGTTTATGGTGGCTTAGCCAGCTCTTCCTCCCCTTTGTAATTTTGGTTAGCCCTAGTTTTTTTCTGAGTCCTAAATCTCAACTTCACCGCTAGCCACAGCCTTTTTCCCTGCCAATATTTCGCATTAGGAAGACTAGGATACAATTTACACTTGCATAGTACACATCTTTCAGAATAGTTATTATAATTAATCTTTCTGATGTTGATTAATTCATTAAATTATTGACTGTGCTACATGCTAGAAACCCTGCTGGGGGATACCATAATGAGCATTTTACATACAGGGAAACAAGTTGGGTGACAGGTATAAGATTACATATCATATTAATGGCAGGATGCAACTAGATCCTAGGTCTCCTGACTCATTGTCTATTGGATAGAAGGGATTGCTGTGAAGAATTAAAACAGGATAGTTCAGATGGTATGTGTGAGGGAGTTCACTCATGATCATTCTAACCTCTACTTGAGCATTTTCAGTAATTGAGGAGCCCAGTCTCTCAAAAGAAGTACATTACATTTATTTAGACCATCATGGAGATTCGATTTGGCATACCAGTCACCTGGTCCACCCTTTCAGGTGGTCAGATGGGGATCAGAGTACAAATTCAATTCAGGATTCTCTGGGAATGGATGGTTTGAAGAATTCTGTGGGGTCTTATGCCTTGGCTGCTAGAGTAGCAGTTGACTGATGTGTGGCAGCCAGATAGAGTTTCAGAGACTGAGGGTGAGTGGCTGTTCTGATGCTGGTGTGTATCTTGATGTGGCCTCTACAGAATCAGGTCAGTATGGTCCCTAGCATTATTTGAGGGTTCAGAAATTGCTTACCCAGAAGTGATGAAATTCTGAGAAAAGAGATCACATGAACCAAAAGATAGAAAAACAGGTTTGTAAGTCAGAATAATGGGAGATTATAATGGGAGATGTATATCTGGCTCAGAATCTGGAATCTATCTAAACCAGAGATTTCCTCCTGCTGGGGTTTGGCCTGGCACCAAATTAAAATCATAAGGTTGCTTGCTTTGTAAGCAGAGGATTAAGAACCAGTTGAATAGTATCTTCCTATGAGCTTAAGATTATGAGGACTTGACATTCTTTTATACTAGAGTATTTCTCTCCAACAACTGCCAGACATTCAGAATCAAACCACCCAAACCTGTGGGAAAAGACTGCTGTATTTTTGACCTTCCAGTTTTTTGATATTCAGTTGTCAAAAAAACAGAGCCTCTGTCATTACCAATTTCCTTATGAAGGACAGAGCTGGTTGAGATTTCCAGGAGTACTGCTTATTTCATACTCACTGTTACTTGGGAAATATATGAAATCTGTTATTCTATGATTTGTGGTAGTTTATGCTACTTATTATAATTGAGGAATAAGTTACCATCTTCACTTTGATTCCTGTAACACTTTCCATAAAGCACTAATGTATTCTCTACTTCTACTGAGCCCTTGCTGTAGCCTCACTGACCTTAGTCCCTGTTGTTTCTCTAGGGTCATCTAGTAGCAGACATCCGAATCAGGCAACTCCAAAGAAAAGTGGTTTAAAGAATGGCCAAATGAAGAATAAAGATGACGAGTGCTTTGGGGATGATATTGAGGAGATCCCAGACACAGATTTTGATTTTGAAGGGAACCTGGCTCTTTTCGACAAGGCAGCTGTGTTTGAGGAGATTGACACCTATGAGAGAAGAAGTGGCACCCGTTCCCGGGGCATCCCAAATGAAAGGCCTACTCGGTACCGCCATGATGAGAACATCCTAGAGTCAGAGCCCATTGTCTACCGACGGATCACAGTGCCCCACAGTGTGAGCAAGGAGTTCTGCACAGGTGAGTTCCCTTTCTATTATGCTTAAAACAGAATGACCAGATTTGAGTCAGAGTCTTATAGTAGGAATTAACTAAAGTGGCTTGGTGGTTGGCGCATTATTACTGTCTCTTGGAGATTATGGCTAATACAGCATCCTACCCACCACTGTCGGTGAGCCGATTTCTCTACATGTTCATTTATATCCTGCATCTGGTAGGATCCGGTCTGCTGTTTATTTGGTATGTTATGATCAACAACTAAAGGCATAGGGACCACCTATCTAGATTCACATAATTTTACCAGAAGTTTAGCTCTATTTTACTAGTTGTTTGCTGGGTTAAAAAACAGTTGGAGATGGCTAAAATTAGGGTTTCAATAAATTATATTTGTTTACTACACTGTCCTCATCTCCTGCTAGCCATGTTCATTGAGGGTTGGCTAGTCATAATTCTCATATAATAAAATAGTACCTTGGTACTTATATAAGTCATTGCATATGGTTGTCTAGTCTATTACTATAGTGATTTTTAAGTTTCTTTTTTTTTAGCATTAGAATCTTTTCTTCAAACATATGCCGATAGAGGCAGATAAAAACAGCTGTGTGAAAGATGGTCTGCTCGTCCCTGCTCCGTCCTCTCACATCACATTATTAACTGGGCTTCTTAGAATACAGTTAGAAAACTATTGTTACTGAATGACCTTAAGAGCTGAGGGGAATCATAATCATTTTAATAAGCAGAGAAGGAACTAAGTATAAACATTCATTTTGGTTTGAAGTTTTGAATATAGAGAATATAAATCTTGAATGCTAGTAGCAGTTATAGGGAGAATTATAGAGACAGCTTAATTATATTGAGAGGAAAATCAGAGATATGGCATGGCTTTTTTGTAGATAACAGTAGGGCTCTGTTGTATTGGTTTTGCTGAGTATAGAAGTTTGCATGTCCTTTCCATGTGAAAAAAATAAGCGGACTCTCAGGCTAAGAAAGAATACTAAATTGTTTCCATCTTTCACTAGCAAACTCTGGCAGGCGTGCCTCTTTACTAAGAAGGTAGTTTCCTTAAGTGGCATTGACTGTATCTTGCTGAACTCGTTTGATTTTTACCACTTGTAAAAGCAAATAGCATAGCTCAGAATCACACTTAATTTGCTAGATTTTAGACTTTTCTTTTTTTTTTTTTTTAACACCTACAGTACCTGGTCTTCCTAGGTGGTCTCCCATCCAAGTACTAACCAGGCCTGACCCTGCTTAGCAACTGAGATCAGATGAGATCATGTGTGTTCAGGGTGCCATGACCATAGGCAGATTTTAGACTTTTCAAAAGGCATCTATCATCCAGTATCCAGCAGGTCTGGTAGTCACTCAGAGCCTGCCATCCATGTACCTCTGACTGTTCCCCCTTTACTGCTCTCAGTTGCAAAATAAGCTGCCTCTACTAGTAGTTCTTTGGGCAGAGGTGGTTGAGTCACACAGTATGTGATTTCCCTGAAATTCCTGAGCTTGGGAAGATTATAGCCTGCCTTGGAGTGAAGTGGCTAAAAGGGAGAGAATATCGGTGAAAATCAGGAAAGAGTCACAGATCTAAAAGAGCCCAAGAAAACATTTGTTAAAGTGGACAGAGGAAGAGGTGAGAATTTCTTCCTACTACACCCTTCACCTCCCCAACCTGATTTTCACACACTATTAATTTAATGACAGAAGTAAAAAGTTCCCTTCTCTCATATGAAACTGTTCTTCCAGAATTGCCATTAAACACACTTCTAACCACACGTGCTTGTCCTTGGCCAAGAACTCAGGTGTGGCAGCTTGTGGTGTGTAGTGACCAGTTGCACTTCACTGGCGCACGGTAGTGAGGGGACAAGAGGCCCTGCAGCCTCATGCCATCTGGTTTTCTCTTTGTTCTCAACAGTGATAGGAGTGGATATGAAGCCCTTGGCTGGAAATAGAGCAAGCAAGCCGTTATCTTGCTGAGCAGTTTCTCCTACAGGCGATTTTTATCTCGGCTCCAACTCCAAGGCCTCAAAGCAGATTTTACTGATTGTTAATTCAGATAGTGCACAGCCGAGGACACTTCCAACTGGATGCACAGCCGAGGACACTTCCAGCTGGATCTGCTATCCATATGTTATTAGGATCAGAATAAGGCAAACTATCTAGAATATGTGGGGAAACAACCTAGGTTCATAAAATAGTAGTGTTAGGTTACTTGATCACCTCATATGATTTTCTTATTTTACGGATGAGGACTTCAAGGCCCAGAGAGGTAAAGGCTCTAAAAAACTTTATCACATTTTCTTTCCTTTTCTGAATGTGGTTTAGTTGAAGAGAAGAATATAATATGAGATCGGCAGTTTAATGATAAAATAGACTATAGTCATTTCTCTTTAGTATTCCCTCAGAAATGGACCAACTTAGATCAGCAGTTGTGGAAAGTGACTTGGATAGCTCCTCAATCTAGCCTTGTGGCATTCATGTCCTAGAACCTCAAATACCTTTTTTTCTACTAATCCCCAGAGTAGCAAAAGAACAAGATGTTTACCGCTTATTAGGTGATAGCTTGGGTTTTAGGATTCTGACAGCTTGCTGTGTACTGTGTATTCCACATACTGACTGCATGCTAAGTGGTGTCAGCAGTTTCTAAGCCATTACTAACTGTTCATACTCTTGGCAGTATTCTTTGCCAACTGTGTTTGGAGGGAGGGCACAGCAGTGTTATAAAAGGTCTGTTGATTGGGAAAATACATTCAGGAAGCAGTTAAACTTAGCTCTTTGTTTAACCCAAGTCTTTTTTTTCTTGGAAAGCCCTTTTGGGTCCTTTGATAGTGTGACTGTCTAGCAGTCACAGATTGTCAGACATTTCTCCAGCTTGGCCCTCCCCTGCTAAATAATGGTATTAGTGGCTATATACCTGAGTGTTAAGTTTGGCTATAAGGTGTGAGCACTCTATTCAGTGGTGAGAGGTCCCCAAAGAACACTGGTTAGGAGAATGGTAAGGCTTCAGAGAGGAATCTTGGATGAATATTCATAATAATCTAAAAGAAATGTATAAGACACTTTTAAGTCAATCAGAACACTGTGCTTATTATTTGTAAGTCACTTGAAGACAGTCTTTGTGTTCAAGTTATTATAATGTACTAAGAAATAGAAATATGCCGTATATGCCTGGAGTCCAATGAGAGTGTACTGGGTGTTGAGAGGCAGGAGAAGGCTTGAAGACTGGGCTGTTCAGGCAAGGCTTCACAAAGGGAGCAAGACAGAAGCCCTGAAGCATGGGCAGCGTTTTTCATCAGGCAGAGAAGAAGAGGAGAATATTCATGGATAGACTGAGCAGGTGCTGGTGAGGAAAGGGCCGATGGGAGGTCAGCCATTGGCTGGTTTGGCAAGTGCAGAGAGCCTTGTGTGCCAGTGATATCGTCCTGTGGCCACAGGGAATAACTGAAGGATTCTGAAAATGACATGTTCCAAAGACTTCTAGTCTTTAGGAAGATTGGTCTTATGATAGAATTCAAGGTAGAATGAAAGGAAAGACCAGAATAGGAAAAAACAGTTAAGCTCATTACATAACTAATGTATCATGGGTTTGGACCTCTGAATGGAAAAGAAGACAAAGATGTGAGAGAAATGACAAAGAGGAATTGGATAGGATTTAATGATTGAAAATAAGTGAAAAAAGATAGAGTAATCAAGAGCATTAAACTTGTGGGGCAGGAAGAATGGCAGTGAGAGTCCAATTTCAGTTAGATAGCATGAATTTGTAGTGGGCCAAGTCCACATAGTTTTGATCTTCCTCCTGCATTGTTTTTGTGACTGAGCCCATGGAAAGCAGATAGTAGAGTTGCCACACTAAGGGATAGAGAGGTGATAAAATTATTAATTACTAAAGGCTTCAGTGAGGAGGCTTCTGTAGAGTTAGAGAATTGAGTTACGTAGCCAAAAAGGGACTATAGAGCCTGTTTCCTTATCTGTAAAACGAAGTAATACTTGTCAAATGAGATCATATGGAAAAGCAGCTAGTGCAGTACCCATTTTATAATTGTTATTTATCAATATTTGACTTCAAATATGAATTTCAGTAAGGTTATTTCAAAAGATCAACATTTACAAAATTTCTATTATGTACTAGGCACAGTTCTGGATACTCTGGCTAAGTCATTGTCCAAACCTCAAGGGCCTTAGAGTATAGGATAATCAAATGTATAAACAAGTAAATAATAAAAGTGTGTACCAGGTTTAGAGGTGGCAGAAAGGAGAAGGTGGAGGCCTGGTTCGGGAGAAGCAGCGTCATTATAATCAATATCATAGTATTGAATATATTCATTGAGTATTTATTCTATTCATGTGCTGTCTCAGTTAAATTCCTGGCATCTCTATGAGGTTTCACCATTACCCGCCCCCCCCTTTTTTTTTTTGTTACTTTTATTTTGCTGTAGTTAAATGTTCCAGTAAATCTTTCATCAGGAATGACTTTCACATGTCTTAAATTCTTCATTCCCTGGGTTCTAGTAAATTTCTCTCAGGTATATCTTATTCAAGAGCCCTTCCTTTTGGGTAGAATTTTCATTTAACTTCCACCATTTGTTTTCCACTGTGTAGCCTTTTTCCTCAAGTACATAGAAGCCAAATGGGAAGCGGTGGGGTCCTGTTGACGCAGGCACTGAAATCTCTGCAGTTGTCCCATCTGCTTTGCCTGAAGAATGTTTCTCTGCCTCCACACTATGTGTGTCTATATTTGGGGGAGCAGCAAGTGCATGAAGATGACCTGAAGTAGAGTTTCTGTTTACTGTCTTCCAAAAGGATCAAGTCAACATTTGAGCTAGATACTTGGTCTGAGCTCCCTTTGAGTCTAGGACCACTCAGCCATACCCATTTCTCTTGGTGAAAGCAGTTCTCCTACCCGCTCTGCAGGGAAGTAGCCGATGAAGCCACAGTTAGTTCCTTCTGTTTTGTGGCTTGCCTTTTTACTCTTCCCACCTCTGCTAGCTACGTCTTTGAGCTTCAGTGGGGATATATCTTGCTTT